CCGCTACCTCGGGGCTGGCCCTTGGGCCGCGATAGATGTCATCCGAGCGGATGACACCCAGCTGGGTGGGAGTGTTGATCTGCTCGAGGACAGGAGGTTCTGCAGGGAAATCTGGCCAGGCTGGAGCCATGGGCTGAGCCCCACTGCACGAGCTTCACTAAGGCCAAGTGCCGGGGGCTGCGCTTGGGCCACAACAGCCCCCAGCAGGGCTATAGGCTTGGGGAGGAGTGGCTGGAGAGCTGCCAGTCAGAGAGGGACCTGGGGGGTGATTGACAGCCGGCTGGACAGGAGCCAGCAGTGTGCCCAGGGGGCCAAGAAGGCCAATGACATCCTGGCTTGTGTCAGAAACAGCGTGGCCAGCAGGGACAGGGAAGATACCCCTGTGCTTGGCGCTGGTGAGGCCGCACCTTGATTCCTGTATTCAGTTTTGGGCCCCTTGCTCCAAAAAGGCCATTCAGTGACTTGAGTGTGTCCAGAGAAAGGCTACAGAGCTGGTGCAGGGTCTGAAGCACAAGTGAGGAGCAGCTGAGGGAACTGGGATTGTTGAGTCTGGAGAAGAGGAGGCTGAGGGGAGACCTCATCACCCTCCACAGCTCCCTGACAGGAGGATGCAGAGAGTTGGGGATGAGCCTCTTTAAGCAAGTAATAAGCAATAGGACAAGAGGGAATGTCCTCAGGTTGTCCCAGGGAAGGTTTAGACTAGATGTTAGGAAGCATTTCTTTACAGAACAGATTGTTAGGTGTTGGAATGGGCTGCCCAGGGAGGTGGTGGAGTCCCCATCCCTGGAGGTGTTCAAGAATAGGGTCGACATAGCACTGAGGGATCTGGTGTAGTTGGGAACTGTCAGTGCTGGGTTAACGGTTGGACTAGATGACTCTGGGGGACAGGAGCTGTGAGCAGGGCTGGGGCCCACATTCCATCCTCTGCCTGCCAGGGTGGGGAAATCAGAGAAAGGCAAAGACCAAAGCATGTGTAATTCAGCACGAGGATGAGGGTTGACATCTCCAGAGGCCACTTCTACAGCTGTAACCTTGGCCAAGGGCTCAGCAGCTGATGCATGGAAGCATGGAGTTGGAGGGGGTCAGCCTCGGTGATACAGGCACGTGTGCTCAGAGCTGGGCCTCGGCTCCATACGCAGAGCTTTTGCATTGTCACGGTGCTTGCTAATTTGTTCTTCATGTGCCCTGTTTACTGGGGAGACACACGTGATTGTATTTAGCACGCTAAATGCTTCAAAAGGCTAAACAAGCTTTAGCTCATGTAGGAAGGGGACACACTTCAAAAAGGCTAATTAGCTGGAGTTTGGGGATTAGTCAGAGATTAGTGAATTTACGTGCCATGCTTTGAATATGTGATGCTTCCAGTGTGTACTATGATTGGCCTTCGCTGTTAAAACCTGCCATGAAATCTATAGGGTCCTCTTTAGCTTATAAATAATAACGAAGTGTAAACAGAACCAAGGGGAGGAAAAATAAGAATATCTAATACCCACTTTCTCTCTCCTAAGCTTTATCCACCCTTGTGATGGAAAGCTCCAGTGACTGGAAACAGAAACCAGACAAACTTGAGTCTGAAAGCGGAGACGTACTGAGTACAGATGAAAGCCCTGTATTTAACTGAGATGTCTGCGTGTCAAAGTGGGGGATTTGCAGGCTCTCGGGGCGTTGGAATCGAAGATGTGCCTGTGGAATGTTGCCCAGTTCCCCACAGTGATAGCAAGAGTAAGCTTCGTACACTGGCATTGTACTGTTACCCTAAAAGCCTGTCAGAGGAACTTGTTTTGGAGTTACAGAAAGCAGGCATTCTTTATTGCAGTCCTGGATGCACGGGGGATCATACTACCTAACATGAACGCGCTGAAACAAAAGTTCTTCCTTTATATACCTTAAATACATGAATATTCATACATTTTTTCCAAGAATTCTCCACCTTTCTGCCTATCTATTACATTTACATAATTCTGGTGTTGCAAAACTACACTGTGCATGCACAGGGGTCTCGGATGGTCATTGGTGGTCGTTTGGGGCGTTAGCCCCCTACTCCTTTTTCCCTTTTATGGTCACGAGTCTTTTGAGGACAATTTCTTCTCCTTGTATGTTTCCCAACTCCGTTGTCCAGCCAAGCTGTTCTTTCTTACCTGCCTTGTTTGAGCATTTCTGCCAGGATGTATCTATTCTCAGGGTTAGGATATTTTCTCCTTACATTTTAATCACTCAGGACTTGTTAAATACAAAGTTAAACATTGTTTGGTAAAATAATTTCTGAATATTTAAGGTATAATGGAGTTCTTTTCTTATCACTAATTATTACAGGCCTCAACTTGCTGGCACCAACTGCTTGCAGGCATCAACTCCTCCCTTTGAGACTTACAGGATAATGTAAGTCTCATTCTACATCAATTTCCCATATCTGATCCTAAAGCATAATTGTGAGCAACAGCTACAACACTGAATCATGATAGAACACAGATACTGATTATCATTGCAAACAGATTTTTCAGCCATGGCCAGTTTGGTAGCCAAGAGGTAAGTTTGTGCCACAATTCCTCAGAGCTCCAGGATGTGTTGTCCTTGGTGACCTGATGCAGGACCTTTGTCTGTTCCCAAATTTCTGCCCAATTTGTGGAAATTCTGCCATTCTGATCTACATATACACAACAGCTTGTGTTAATCACAGTGCAGACACCACCTAGTAAAGCCAATTGGAAGTCAAGGGCCATTTGGTTTTGTAATACTATCTGAGATAAACGGGACACTTCAATTTGTAATGCTTGTCCATAGTTCTGTTTTCTATGTTCTCAATTACAGCGGATATATTTATGATTGTCTTTTCCAATTCAGTTACTCCGTGCCAAGGGAGAAACCATCTAATGAAACTGTGGAATGCATAAGGATGATCTGCTATAGCACTGTGAGTCCTTCTGGTTTGTCTTCACCCATCCACTCTGTTCATGCAGCTTATTAACTACTGTTATATTTGGGGCTAGTGCTCCTAAGGTGCACACCCCTTTCCACCCTAGGGGTGATATTTTCTGACCTTGGTTACCACATAGCCAATACCATCCTCTTCCTTCTGTTTGGGGTACAGGCCACCCAACTGAAGGTTTGGTTTTGTTTTATTTAAATCTAAGAGGGCTAGATCAAATTGGCCATCTACATATCCCATGTAACAGTTACACCCCTTGGTTAGTCCTGCATCTATAGTATTGCTGTTTTTACAGTGTGGAGTTGCATCATTTAGATGACATTGCTGTATACAGTTATAGTTACAGGATACTTGTGGTTCTTCTATTTGGATTTCTTGTTGATTAGTCATGTTAGCACTGCCTCACTGAAAGACTGTGCTCATTGTCATCTGTCCATAGCTGTGGCCTCTAGTAATGGTGATATTATTGTGTAAGAGGGTATTGTCAGGGATTGGAATCCCCATGTACTTCGGTGTTCCTAAAGAGTGCTCTGGTAAATGTGTACAGACCCAACAATCATTTCTATGTAGTATCTGAGTAATTTGTTGTGTTAAAATTAAATGGAGATTCTGATGCCATCTTGGTGCTGGCCAGACTCAACCCATGGCTATCATAATTGTCACAGACCAAACAAAACTCAATCATGATCTCTTTAATTTCAGTGTAAGAGGAGACAGCTGCTCCCCTACCCATGGGGTGGGAGAGGTAGAGATGTCAAAAATCATTGGTAATTTGGATTGGAATTGAAACAACAGAACCATAAGGCAGAAAAAATCTGTGATGAAAGTACCCAGGCCCAAACCACACATGTGCTCTGGGCTGGGGGCGTGGAAATCAATTTTCTTGCTGCATACGCAGACCCCAACTCTGGCAGACCAGGGCTGCAATCAACAACCGTGACCGGAACCCTGGGAATAATGCAGAGAAGGTACTCTTCTGTCATGACAAAGACACAATCTGTGAGCTGATACCTCCAGAAGATTCGCAAGAGGAGAAGATAAAATGTATACAATTCTGTTTCTTTATATTGGGGTACTTATTCTGTTAGCTATTGCTGTAATTACTCTTTTAATATATGCTTGCCTTGCGATTGTCATGGTAGACAATCAACTCCTTCTGCTCCCCCAGGGCCGTAAGCAAGTCCTCAAACTCGGCCTAGGACGCATTTTGATTTTGTAAAATCAGTTAGATTGAAATATGTTATGGTTAAATATGTTATTAATCAGCATAGCTACCATGAAATGCATGATTACATGTATGGTCACTTCTATTTCTTTCATACTTCCTTCTAACTGTTCTGTGCATATCACCCCCGTAGACAAGGACTATGAGGA